AAAAAAAAAAAAAAAAAAAAAAAAAGAGAAAGGAAATAAATACCCAACAGCCACCAACCGCAATGAGCGCTGTGAGAGAGAGGCATGAGGCACCAAGACAGGTACGACTGCAGCACCCTAAGAAAGTGACTGGAGGATCCCAGAGCAAGAATTGTGGGTGGAGGAGGAGGATCCAGACCCCTGGGAGAGGCCCTGAGGCCAGCGATTCCCACTCTAGGCAGCCTTAAGAAAGAGAGAGTGACAGATCAATGGAATTTTAAAAGGGTGACAAATGGTTTAAAGGTAGAAACCACCTGGGATCCCTGGGAATGCCTTTAGGTCACTGTTGCTTTTTTTTTTTTTTGAGACAGAGTCTCACTTTGTTGCCCTCAGTAGTGTGATATGGCATCACAGCTCACAGCAACTTCCAACTCTTGGGCTAAGCAATTCTCTTGCCTCAGCCTCCAAAGTAGCTGGGCCTACAGGCGTCCGCCACAATGCCTGGCTTTTTTTGTTGTTGGGGGGAGGGGTTGTAGTTGTCATTGTTGTTTGGCAGGCCTGGGCTGGATTCAAACCCGCCAGCTCCAGTGTATGTGGCTGGGACCCTGGCTGCTGAGCTACAGGGCCCACTGTTGCTTTTGGAGGGCAAAAAGAAAACGACAGCAATTGAAAAGACAGGAGGGTGAGAAGGAGTGATACTAGGAAGCTGAGCAGAGAGACAGACAAAGGTGATTGTCCTGCCAAGGAGTTCTTAGGAGAATGAACAAAATTGGATTTGAGGAGTGGTTTGTAACCCTGTATCCCTTAGAAAATTGAAGGCTCTCAGTCTCCGGAAAAATGTACTTTATTTCCCTACACATGGGATCAAGGGAAGGCCCTTGACTCCTAAAGCCCTTTCTGGGTTATGTTTTCCTACTCCTAAAACCAGCCTCACTGCCCAACCTTGAGCTCTGCCTGTGATACTGGGTGCCAGGAAGATTGGGCTGCAGGGAGAATCCAATGGTGAAATAAAAAGCTACATTGTAACGAGTACCCTGTGCTGGCCAGACAAGGAGCTGAGCACCTACATCCATCAGTCGGTTAATCCTCTCGATCACTCACTAAGATGGTGCTGCTAGGAACTCCTTCAAGGATGGAAATGTCCTGGTGCTTACTACAGGCTGTGTTCTCACACTGACTGTATAGAAAGAGGAGGCAGAGTTAACCTACCCTGTGCACACCCAGCCCAGGACCCAGGCCTCGTCTGTATTGTGAATGGGGGGACATGGAAAGAAGAAAAAAAAAACTGCTGTACAGTTTCAATATTTAATGTATGATTCATTGGTTTGTAACATATTCACAAAGGTGTGCAACCATCACCACTAACTAATTCCAAAGTTTTTTTTTTTTTTTTTGAGACAGAGCCTCAAGCTGTCCCCCTGGGCAGAATGCCGTGGCATCACAGCTCACAGCAACCTCCAACTCCTGGGCTCAAGCGAGTCTCCTGCCTCCGCCTCCCAAGTAGCTGGGACCACAGGCGCCCGCCACAACACCCGGCCATTTTTTGGTTGCAGCCGTCATTGTTGTTTGGCGGGTCCGGGCTGGGGATTTGAACCCGCCACCTTAGGTGTACGTGGCTGGCGCCCTAGCCCGTTGAGCTATAGGCACCGAGCCCCAAAGTTTTTTTGTTGTTGTTGTTGAGACAGTCTCACTATGTTGACCTTAGTAGAATGCAATGAAGTCACAGCTCACAGCAAACTCAAACTCTTGGGCTTAAGCTATTTTCTTCCCTCAGCCTCCCTTGTAGCTGGTACTACAAGCATCTGCCACAATGCCTGGCTATTTTTTTATTGGAGTTGTCATTGTTGTTTAGCAGGCCCAGTGTATGTGGCTGGTGCCCTAGCCACTGAGCTACAGGCACTGAGCCCCAAAATATTTTCAACATCCCAAAGAAACCCCATGTTCACTAGCAGCCACTCCCCACTTCCCTCTCCTCACAGCCCTCCCACAGCCACTGATCCACTTTCTGTCTCTGTGGATTTGCCTATTCTGGACATTTCTGTAAAAGGAATTGCACTGTATATGACCCTGTATGTGTGGCTTTTGAGCATAATTTTGTCTTTTTATTTTTATTTTTTTATTTTTTTTGGCCGGGGCGGGTTTGAACCTGCCACCTCTGGTATATGGGGCCGGCGTCCTACTCCTTGAGCCACAGGTGCCGCCCAGCATTATGTTTTTGACGTCCATTCACTGCAGCGTGAGTCAGTCCCTCTGTTCTGCATTCCTTTCTATGGTTAAATAAGATTCTATTGCATGGATAGAGCACATTTTCTTTATCCTCTCATCAATGGCTAGGTATTTGGGTTGCTTATACTTTTTTTGGCTATTATGAATAATGCTGCCGTGAACACTTGTGTACACGTCTTTGTACAAGCATTGTATTGTCAGTTCTTGTGGATAGACAGCCTAGGAGAGAATTGCTGGGCCCTGTGGTAACTCTTTCAGCTTTTGGAGGGACTGCCTTTCACTTTCTGTACTGTGACAATAAAAAACATAGAAATTATAGGCATGGCTCAAGTTGTGATTCTGTTATGTAGAACTTATCTAAAATGTCTACTTTGGATCTTGGCACTGTAGTGGGAAAAGGCCTAGAAAGAGTTATACACTCAAGACTGTAGTAGGGACCAGGCGTGGCAGCTCACACCTGTAATCCTAGCACTCTGGGAGGCCGAGGCGGGTGGATTGCCTGAGCTCACAAGTTGGAGACCAGCCTGAGCAAAATAGTGAGACCCTTTCTCTACTGTAAAGAAAAATGGAGGAAAGAGGATCGCTTGAGCCCAAGAGTTGGAGGTTGCTGTGAGGTATGACACTATGGCACTCTACCAAGGATGACAAAGTGAGACTCTGTCTCAAAAATAAATAAATAAAAGTCAATTTTGAGTCCAGGGCTATACATAAGCAGAAGTTGACCAGACATATTTGGCCCATGGGCGGTCATTTGCTCATCCTGCTTTTCCTTTCTTTTAACCTTGAGACAGGATCTCACTCAACTGCCCAGGCTGGTGGAAATCACAGCTCATTGCAAACTCCAGTTCCCAGCACAAGGGATTTTCGTGAGCCAGCCTCCCCAGTAGCTAGGAATACAGGCCCAGCTGATTTTTCTATTTTTGTGGGCCAGGCCTGATGGCTCAAGCCTGGTACTCTGGAAGATCAAGGCAGGAGAATCCCTTGACCTTAAGAGTTGGAGACCATCCTAGGCAAAAGTGAGACTCCATCTCTACTACAAATAGAAAAAGTAGCCCTGTGCAGTTAGAGCTACTCGGGAGCCTGAGGCCAGAGGATCTCTTGAGCCCAAGAATTTAAGGTTGCTGTGAGCTATGACGACTCCATAGCATCTACCCAGGGTGACAGAGTGTTATTCTGTCTCAAAAAAATTGTTTTCTTCTTTACTTTTGGTAGAGACACAGTCTTCCTCTGTTGTCCAGGCTGTTCTCAAATTCCTAGCCTTAAGGTATCCTCCTGCTTTGGCCTTTCAAGGCCCCTGGGATTATAGGCGTGAGCCATTATACCCAGCTTCATGGAAGTTTTTAAGGGTTTCACTCTAGATGAGCTAATCTCAATACTTCCCTTGCCCAACTGGGACCTGTCATTGCTAAGCAATCTAAACTCAGAGAGGGTGAGACTTTTTTTTTTTTTTT